AATATATTTAGATCACAAATCGTGCACGCTCTCAATTTAAATGTTGGTTGCAAGGGTGATTTTCCCCCCTTTATTCTGCTTTAAAAAGCAAAGTGTTGAAAGCCCTTGAAACACAAGATGCAGCAGCACAAAGCAGGGAGGTAACAGACGTCACCGCAGCAGAAAGCACTAATAAATTGTCATGTAATTAGCTCAGGGTTTGAATCCTGAGTGATGGGGCTCTTTGCAGAGGGAGGGGATTGCTGTGGGGTCCTTGGGCCTGCCATGGAATCCCTGAATGGGTTGGGTTGGGTAGGAAGGACCATGGCAGGGACACCTTCCACCATCCCAGGGTGCTCAGAGTCCCATCCAGCCTGGCCTTGGGCATTTCCATGGATCCAGGGGCAGCCCAGATTTCCCTGTTCCATACCAGCCCTGCTCACCTGTGTCCCCTCCTGTGGGATGGCAGAGCTGTTGGCAGCATGAGGTGGGAATTCAGAGGAGCTCTTCCCCCAGGCTGAATGTGCAGGGCCCAGGTTTGGTTTCTTGCTGGGGTGGAGCTGTGGGTGGCTGGAGCTCCTCTGGGACCTCAAAACCCTGCTCTGATCCAAGCTTTGCTCCCAGCAAAGCCTCATCCCTAGAACTGAGAATGAAAGGATGTCTTCTCATCACAAAGGGAGTCATTGCAGTAGGATCAGGTTCTTTTTTCTCCCTCCTCATGGAAATGCAGGAATGATTAATAATCAACACATTTCTGTAGCTGCTTTTGTTCTATATTCTTTGAGCCTCTTAGGCTGTCATCTATTAATTTCAAATCTCAGAGGGAACAAGTATAAAATAGAAGATGGAGTAATCCAAGGGTTTCTGAAAAGGTGAAACTTGTCTGTAGCTGAATATATGCATTTTGTGTTATTCTCCAATCTCCTGTGTGAAAATACTGCATTTGAGCACAAGAGAGGTCTTCATTTTGTCTTTAAATAAACTCATCTTGTGGAGCATTACCATCCTTGTGAGTGGATTAAAGCTGTGCAATTTCATAAATACAAAGTCAACAACTTCTGTTTACAGTATGTCCGTCATTGCCAGCTACGTTACTTCTTCATTGCTGGTATTCTTTCATATTTAAAGTAAAAAGAAAAGATACTATCAGCGTGTTTGTTCTCTCCTGTGAGCAGGCTTTGGCCTAGGGAAAATATCAGGTATCTAAGTATAGAAAAGTCTGAAGAGAAAATGCTAAATTTCAGCAGGGAATTGCTGGTTTTCTTTTAATTTTAGTTTCGCTGTGCAAAAATGAGTTTGGTTTTTCCAAGTAATGAAGAAACAGCTGTGTTGGTGTTAAATATTCAGTGGATTTGTAAGTGACTTACTTAAAGATCTTCATCTTTATAAGATTTCCCTCATTTGAAAGCACCCCAAAGTATGGTTTTTGTGAGGGGGAGTAATTTCTCTTGGTTCTTACCTTTCTCCAGTTGGCATTTTGGAGAGTCTGGGTTTAAAACCCGAAATAACGACACACCTTTTTTGTTGCCAGCAAAGTATTTGATTCCTGCTCTCTCCAACTGCAGAAAAGTTGGTGAGGGCCTTCTCCTAAGTGCTTAAAATAGGCAGTGGAGATTTGGAAAAAATGATGAGTGGTGGATTGCACAACCAGCCTGGCTGGAGCTGGAACTGCTTCCAGATCTTTCTGGAATGGGTGTGCTCTGAGTGAATGAGTGGGCTCTGAAATACTCAACTCCCTTCTCCTATCATTTCAGCCTCTCTAACCTTGGTATTTGCGATTTTGGAGAAGTCTTTCATTATATTTTCAGATAATGTTATTAATGCACTACCTAAATGTGACTTAAAATCGCATGTGGTGGAATTCATGGTAAGAAAAATCTGTCTTTGTTGAGTTTTCCATTGTGATTTGAGAGCAAAAGTTGGGCATTTGAGATGTGGTTGGTTGCTTGGGGTTGGACTGGAGAGAAGGGTTGGAAGTTTGGAATCTGCTGGGATGGGAAGGAGCACAGTCTAGTCAAGAAGAGAGAGAAGGTAGAAGAGCAAATGAAAAGCATGGGATAGAAAGAATGGCAGTTGGAATAACGTTGCTGGCAAGTTTCCCTCTGCCTTGAACCCCAAAATACTTGGGAACACGGGGGTTTCTACCCTTCCCAGGATCCTTGCTTTGCCAACTCCTCGGTGCTGCCGGTGCACGCAGAGGGTAGCCAATCCCTGCTGTGATATTTCGGGAGCTGCAGGTGGCAGAGGCCCACGTGGGCTGTTGGTGTCCCACCAGTGAGAGCACTCATCCCTCACGTGGTGCAGCCCCGCTGTGTTCCGTGCAGAGCGGTCGCCGAGGGAGGAGCAGCATTTAGCTGGGAAGAACTGAAATGTACATTTCATGTGTGCCCATGGAGCGTTCCTCATCCTGAAGGGGTAGTGTAGGATTATGCAATCCCTTTTTCCTGCAGGGCCTTTGTTGGGTGCTCAGGCTTGATGTATCATCATTTCATCAACAGTGACGTAGTATTTTATTTTTATACTACCTCATTGTGCAATTCTGCCATTTTTCACTGTGTATCATGAAGATCTGAAAGGAAAATGCATTCCTTCCTGGTTAATATGCAACAAACAGGCTATAAAAAGATGTCGTTACTGTGCAGTAATTGCTTTATTTATCACCTTTCCTATGTGGCTAAAGCTGCTTGAATCACTGAGCGGAGCAGGGAGCTCATGCTTTGGGCTCCTTTGGCTTCACTTTTAATTTTTGGCTTTGAATTTTTGGTTCTTGTTGTAGAACTAGACCTAAATTCCATAAGGATGGTGTCTGACAAGCATGGGTTTATCTTGCAGAGTCATCAGGACTGTGGGTTACAGATCAATGACCACGATGGTGCTCAGCCAGCACATCCTTGACTTTGTAAACATCCCAGGCAGAGGGGTCTGGAGAGCTAAAACTCTTCTGGCCAGAGAGTTCGTGTAGTTTGACCTGTGGCGAAATACATTTGGTGGCCATATGAAGGTGAATAAGGCAAAGTTGAACTTTTCAGCCACTTCAGCAATAGATTTCATAGAATAAATACTAGAGAATAAATCTATTGGGTGCTTTTCATTGTTTGTTTTAGATCTGTAGCTTTGTTACTAGGGAAAAAACCTAAGGAAAACATGTTATGCCTTCCCTTCTTGCGCTGGACAAGGTCAAACTCTTGTAGCCCTCTCTGGGTGCTTCAGGCAGGAGAGGGGTTACTTGCAGTTAACAGTTTGGAACTTTAGCTTAACTTGACAACTTTCTTGACTGAATAAACGATGGAAAGAAGTGCACTGTGACTAAATCTAGCATACAATTAATTCTTCTCTGCAGTTCTGTGTGTTAATTGCTGTCATTGTGTGAACTGATGGTTTAAGCAAAAATAGAAAATTTTATAACTGGTGTGTTGCTTACAATGCAGAGCCTTAGCTCCAAGTGCCAGCCCGCAGTGGCTTTTTGAATCTCTGCTGTGCTGTCAATCTCTGTGAATCATCCTGGTGGAAATGGAGAAAAGGGTGAGGAGCAAACCTGGGAACTGTGGTTTGCACTTTTCCTGGTGCTCCAGCAGCCCCAGGCTGGCAGTGGGGATAAGTGGAGCTGAGTGTTTGTGCAGAGATGCAGCTCAGTGCCCTGCGCTCTGTCCTTCCCCAGGGTCACTGTCAGAGGGCCCCAGCACCCTGCCCAACTCCTGCTGGGTCTGGTTTTGGGGTCCAGGGTGGAATGGGATCATCTTTAAGGTCCTTCCAACCCAAACCATTCTGGAGTTCTTTGCCCTTCTGTGAAAGGTGTTTGGTGTTGCCTGGTGGGCTCTGGGGATGGTTTGGAGGAAAGGCATGAGGAGAGTGACAGTGTCCATCTCAAACAGCATCCAGAGGTCTTGGTCCAATTACCAAGGTCTGTGTGAGCCCCTTCAGCAACTCCAGCCTGTGGCAGAGCTGCCATGACCTGTCTCCAGCATGGGGTGTCTCCCTTTCTGCTTGATGTTCATCCAGAATAGCCATGAACAAGCAGCTCTGCTTTTCAGGCACACAGGATAACCCCAGGTGGGTTTCTCCTCACCTTGCTGCTCCCCAAATTGTGGTGCTGGTCCATGGGGATGCACCAGGAACCTGGACAAAGGGTGTGTGAACGAGGAGCCTGAGCCTGACATCCACTCTGCTGCTAGAGAGGCTGGGAACAGCCTCCTGGCTCTTCTGGCACTTTGTTTGAACTTCTGAGCTGCTACTTTAGGCGCTGCCTTTGAATAGCTGAATTTATTTTTTTGCGTGTTCCGTTGCTTGGCGACGACAGGAGGAAAAACAGTCACTGCAGCTCATGTGGGTTTATTACTGATAAGTTAGCATCTCTGATACAGAAATGTATTTTTAATAAGACTAATGAGCTGTGATTCCTGGCTTTAGCCAGGCAGAATGTTAAATAAACTGTGTTGCTGCACTGGGTATAGAACCTGACACCCTGAGGGGTTTGATGTTACCTCAAGCCATGCCTTGAATGCCTGTGCTTGTGCAGGCTGTTGTTTGAAGGTATTTTATGCTGCTGCCACTTCATTAGGTGAGGACTTTCTCCTGGTTTTTTGCCCACTTTTCCCTATCAATAGAGAGGTTTTTATTTAAGAACTAAACTGACAACAGCAGTGAAAAAATCAAAAGCAAAAAGCCCCCAGCCTGACAGAGTTTACCTGCTGAAGTACAAAAACTCCAAGCTGAAAGTGCAGAAACCAAGTCTGCTTGCCTGGGAAAGCACTGGAACGTGTTCCCATTTTAGTCTGGTACCGTTTTTGACTGGGACAAGTTATAAATTTTCTGCTCTTGCATCAGATGTTGGCAGCAGCAGTTAGTTTTTATCGTGCACGGAGCGACATTCCTGTTGCTCAGAAAAGCATTCGTCTGATCAGGAGCTTTTTGGAATTTGTTTATAAAGCTTTCCTTGCTGCTGGAATAGCTGGAGAGCATTAGCAGCAGGAATGCAGATGATGATGAGAGGCTGAAGCTGTGTTTGTTGCCTGTTTCTCCAGATTGCCTGTTCAAGCTGTGTCCCATGAACCGCTACTCGGCGCAGAAGCAGTTCTGGAAGGCAGCAAAGCCCGGGGCCAACAGCACCACGGATGCTGTGCTGCTCAACAAACTGCACGTGAGTATCCCTCTGCAGGGCCCTCCTCACAGCCAGCCTGCTCCAGACAAGCATTTCCAGCCAGGCACAGTTATGGAGGAGACACTGAGTGTATAGAAATAAATCAGCATGCAAGATTCCTTTGGAGATGTTCAGTCCAAGTCTTCAATCCTCTGATTTATGGCACAATCACAGAATATCCTGAGTTGGGAGGGACCCACAGGGATCATCCCAGCTCCTGGCCCTGCACAGACACCCCAGCAATCCCACACTGTCCCCAGGAGTGCTGTCCAACGCTGTGGCAGCCTCAGGGCTGTGCCCATTCCATGGGGAGCCTGGGCAGTGCCCAGCACTCTCCGGGGATGAACCTTTCCCTAAATCCAACCAAACCCACCCTGGCACAGCTCCAGCTGTTCCCTGGGTTCTGAGTCACAGAGAGTGGACAGAGCCCTGTCCTGTTCCTGCTCAAGGTCTGTGTCCCCCAGTGCTGTGCCCATGATACTGGAGTAGCCCTGGGAGCTCTTGTCTTTAACGTGAGGTAGAGTTAATGGTGCTCCAAGGGAGCATTTTGGGTGTTAAAGGCACGAAAAAGGGACCCTTGAAGCAATTGCTCAGAGGATTCTCAGGCCCTGCGTTCCCAGCATGGGAAACCAGGAGCTGATGGGCTGATCAATCTATTGGGACTACTCAAACAAACGTTGCTGCTGTTGATATATGGGAAGGTTGATGGGTAATTATGAGTAATTATAAGGCCAGGCAGCCTCTCCTTCCTTATTAGCTTGCAGTATTTAATATTTTCTGGGTAAAATGTTGACATTCAGCAGCTGAAAACTCAGTAAGGCAGTTGATTGCTGTTTTTAGAGCTCCTATATAAAAAAAAGCCAACTTAACTTAAATACCATCTGTTGACTTTAGAGTTAAATAAACTCAGTGTTTATGTTAAAATTACATAGCTGGAGTACTTCATGTCAAAATTACAATTCTGAATATTTTTAGGTTCTTTGAGCCTATATTAAGCTCATTGTAGCCTGGAATACGAAATGGCCCCGTAGGAGAGTGTCACTTGCTGATTGCCATATGGCTGCCTCGCTCTGCACTTCACAAAGACCCACTGGTGGACTCCTTCTGCTTCAAGAAATGTATTTATAACCCACAAGTATCAGCTTGGCAGGGACAAAGCTATTTTGGTAGCACAAAGCTCCCTCACCTGGGCCGTGCTTCTCATGTTGATAAGGGAAGGGGGCTGTGGCAGCAAGTTTGGGGTGAGGGGGGTTCTGGGCTTGGCTGCTTGGTGCATCAGGAAAAGGGAGAGTTCATGGGTTTTCACAGAAATTAGAGTCTAAATACTGCAACATGTAAAGGAAAAGGCTTTGGCATTGCCATGGATTGCATTCTCATTGGAGTTGTCTCCCTTTCAGTACATCCCAGAGTGGGTGTGTGGGACCTGTCCCTGCTCATCTGACACTTGACCCTTTTGTGCCGGGGTCCTGGAAATGCAGGATGAGGTTTTTCCAGGATGGGGTTTTTCCAGGATGAGGTTTTTCCAGGATTAGCCCGAGCCCAGCAGTGTTTGCACAGCAATGTCCCACCAAGAGCTGCTTGATTTGGAGGAAGGGTTTGAGTGCCTTACAGTTTTATTGGGGTTTATTCAACCTGCATCACTTGGATGTGAACTCGGATGGGCTGGATCAGGTCTGGGGCTTGAAAATAACTGTGTCCCGTGGACATCTCTGTATCAGAACTTCCTCCTGCCCGTCCTGTGTGTCCATGTGCCACCTTTGCCACTTGCTGGCCCGTGGAGAGCTCTGAACCCCTGTGCTCACAGCTGTGAGCTCTGCCCAGGATGAGATTTCTTTATCACAGCATTGCATTTCCAACGCAGCTGATGATGCAAGATGTGTTCATCATCATCATCACTTGCCTTTTTTGGCTTCTGTTTGTCTGCTGGTGGAATTTATTGTCTGCCATGGAGCGCTCCATGCTGAGGTCAGGTTATTTTAAGTTAATGCCATTTAAGGGATTTCAAATCTGGGACACTTGTCTCTCTCTGTGGTCGCAGCATCTGAGCTGCTTGAGGAGCTGACATCTAGTGGCCACAAAAGTGCTTTTCCTGGAGTCAGGTCTGGGGAGAGCTTTTGGAGTACATCCTGTGTCCTAATTGTGCTTTCACAGAAAAAAAATGGTTTTTGTGTTTATAATAAGTGTGGCACCCAGTGTGGCAGGGCAGTCCTGGCTGTGGTCGCTGTTGTTTGGGAGGGCTCTGGTGTCTTGAAGAAACCTTTTGACAGAATACTTGCAAAGCAAGCAAAAAAGTTGTATTTTAGTAATATAGAGAAAATGGTGTTGCATTGCATGACGGAGTAAAATGTTGGATTTGAAAGAGCAGCTGTATGTCAGGTTCTCCTGGAGCAAGAATCCAGTTTTCATACCTAGCACAGCCTCAGTAAGCAGCACTTTTTGAATGAGCTGGAGCTGGTTGAATTCTCTAACAGTGTGCAAGCATCTGCTCTTTGTCCTGGTACTTCACCTCAACTGTGGGCACTTTTCTTCTCCAAGAGAAACCTGGACCCACCACAGTCCATGAGACCTGAGAACCAAACCATAACCCTTGGTGCTCAGCCTCCTAAAAAGTCCAATTTTCAATTGCTCTCCACCTTCAGATAGCAGTTAAACAAATACAGATTTATGTTTTTAATTCAAAACGTCGTCTTTCCTGTGAAGTGAAGAAGTTCTTTACCAAATGAAATTGTTTAAAAACAGCTTGGGCCAAATAGCTCACTTTTAAAGCAGCAATGGCAAGAGGCTCATTGTAAATTATTAATTAGGGCTTTGTGTCCTTATAATAATTCAGCAAGGGAGGGGCACTGGAGTCTCCAGAGAAACTCAGCCTGGAGGGCAGCTGGAGCCTGTGTTGGCAAAGGGAAATAAAGAATCAGCATTGGGGTTCTTTCATTCAATTTGTGTACAAGTCAGTAGAAGGGAAAATAGAATTCCTGGCTGGAGTTGTTACCCCTCCCTTTTTCACCTTCCCCTCCCTAGGTATCTGCCTTCTGTCTTGTCTGAGCTTTTCAGCTCATGTTTTATTCCAGAATTTTGTCCAATTGTACCCAAATTACAGGTTACTTAAATGATGTGTGTCTATCTCCCCAAACAGTTGAAAAAGGGAATTGGAAATTACACTGTTGGAAGCTGGAAAAAGAGGAAATTAGGCTCTTTCAGATGCTTGCTGTTTTTCCAGTCCTTTGAAATAATCTTGAAGAAAAGGGAGTTTTGTAAAACCCCTTTTTCTAAAACACTCAGCAATTGAACTGTTCTCCTTTAATTTCAGCATGCAGCCGATTTGGAAAAGAAACAGAACGAAACTGAAAACAGAAAACTGCTGGGAACAGTCATCCAGTATGGGAATGTCATCCAGGTAGGCTGTGAACATCTGTGCAAGCTGGAGAGGATTTAGTTGAAAATTCCCTGCTCAGTGGACTTCAGATTGCTGGAATTGATGATCAAGAGCCTGTAGTTTTGCCAGGTTTCACTGTGCTCTGAAGTGGGATCCTGGCTGTTACATCTGTGTTTTATCAGTGTTTTATTATGGGTTATTTGTGCCTGGTTTTGAGGTCACCATTGATTGTTTTCTTCAGAAATCCTTGTTAGAGCCCTCATTAGGCTTGTTGGGAGGTGGCACATGTACAACACCAAATATCCTCTCACAGTGAAATGTTGACACTTAAATCATGAGCTGACACAGAGGAGGAAAATCAATGGAAATAGAAATAATAAACTGACACAGAGAAAGAAAATCAATAGGAATAGTTACATTTTGTTGTTAGATGAGACCAAGCAAGCCAAGAGAAGAGCAGCTTTGTCTCTTAGCAGGAAGAGCCACTTAGTCCCCAGCATTTCACAAGTTTTGGTCCTGGGTATTTTTCAATGGATTGTTTCAAAGTGATGAGGGCATCTCCATGTGTTTGTCCTAGCTGGGCAAGGGACAGCTGGATTACCTGAAGTGTTTTGTGCTGTGTGTGAGTGGAGCTGTGCCTGGTCCATCAGTGCTTGCCCAGATTTCAGTTTGTTCCCTGTGTAGCACTGCAGTTGTCTCATGCACGCTCGGGTTATTGAGGGGAGGAACAGGAGCATTCTTAGAACTGAACTCTGATTCTTATTCTAGCTGCTTCACTTAAAAAGTAACAAATACTTAACAGTAAATAAGAGGCTTCCAGCTCTGCTAGAGAAGAATGCAATGAGGGTGACCTTGGATGAAGCTGGAAATGAAGGCTCCTGGTTCTACATCCAGCCCTTCTACAAGCTGCGCTCCATCGGGGACAGTGTAAGTGCTGGGAGCAGGCTGCTCACACGTCCCTGGGGCTCAGCCTGCACTTGGGAGGCCTGCCTTGCAATTAATGCAATGCACACATCTCCCAGGGCGTGATGGTGATGCAGGAACAACCTTTTTGCTATGCTGTCATGAGGGGGAGGAAAATTGCTATGGTAACTTGTATTTTGGAAACGTGGCATGATCTAACATTGGAGGGAATAAGGGACCTAATTAGGCTGGCCTTGCACAATTCCTGCTCAATTCAAAATGGTAGGAAGTGTTGAGCTCCTTCAGGAGGTTTGGAAGGAATAATTAGCATCTTGGTTTTTGGTGTTGTCAGCTTGGAATCAAAATTCGTCATCACTCTGGATGTGAGGAGTGAGGTAATAAGGAAGTGAAATGCTCCTGCTCATGGGAAATTTTTAAATGCATTGCCATTTTAATCCCTTCTTTTGCAACATCTGAGTCACTTGGGTATGGAATCTTCCTAAAACCAGGAGGTGATAAACTCCAGTGTGCTCTGGGGTTCAGGCCCGGTATATTTGGCAAGTAACATGGTGAATTTATCTATCAGCCATCATTTATCCTGTAGCCCCATCTGTACCAGAGCTCAGTCTGCTTCTTCTGCAAGGCTCTGAGTCCTTTAGCATGGGGGGTTTTGCCTCGGTCACTGAGTTTGGTGAGCTAAATTCTGAACCAGACAGAATCCTGGTGGAACACTCAGACTGCCATCCCTCCAGACTGCAAAAAGGTGATTTCCTCCCATGGCTCCCATTAAAAAAAAATAAAAAGGTAGAAAAAGAGCTTTCTCAGGGTGCAAATTTGTCTGATGCTGCACTTCTCTACAGGTTGTCATTGGAGACAAAGTAGTCCTGAATCCTGTCAATGCTGGCCAGCCTCTCCATGCCAGTAGCCATCAGCTTGTGGATAATCCAGGGTGCAATGAGGTAAGGGGACTCTGGCACAGCTGGAGCAGCTGTAAAACCTCTGTGCTTCAGCTTAGCTCTTTCTACGTGGTTTGGAATTCAGCAAGCTGGTTGGTACCCATGGCACTGCTTATTAGGAGTGGTTATCCTGGTAATCAGTGACATAAAAGAAGCGTTTTGGAGCTCTGCTTTCTCTTGGGGGCTGGCAGAGGTTTGGGTTTGATCTCTTTTTCATGACTGGCTAAAAACAAGTTGTTCCCTCAAAATCAGGAGTTGTGGCACAGTGATGTGCCCCATACTAGTCACTGTGAAGAAAATTAAATCTACCAGCACAGATGTGTAACAAGTGGCTTCCAAGCCAGTCAGCTCTGTTCTGGAGCAGATACAGAAAAGACTTTGCTTCTCCAGAGCAATGCAGCCAGGCCTGCAGCGTTCTGGTGAAAATTGTCTAAAAAATCAGACGATGGCTCACGTGCAGCACCTTGTGCAGGCACAGCACAGTGGGACTGAGGGTCTCCTCCTCCTTCCAGGTGAACTCAGTGAACTGCAACACCAGCTGGAAAATCGTGCTCTTCATGAAATGGAGCGACAACAAGGACGACATCCTCAAAGGGGTGAGAGGCAGGGCTGTGCCTGGCTGCAGCCGGGGCCCTGCTGGGCGCTGCCCCTGCTGAGGCTGCTCTTTGGCAGGGGGACGTGGTGAGGCTGTTCCACGCCGAGCAGGAGAAGTTCCTGACGTGTGACGAGCACAGGAAGAAGCAGCACGTGTTCCTCAGGACCACGGGCAGGCAGTCGGCCACGTCTGCCACCAGCTCCAAAGCCCTGTGGGAGGTGGAGGTGAGCGCTGCACCCAACCTGGGGCTGCCTTGCTGGGAACGATTCCTCCTTCTGTTTAAAGCACTCTGCATTTCTCGCTTTAGGTGAAATTTTCCTGTTGTTAGCAGTTGAAATTAGAATTCCTTCGCTTGCTTTCTGTGCACAGTCAGAGTGGAGCTCTGCTCTCTGATGGTGCGGCACAGAGCTCTCGTTCAGGTGCTTTACAGTTCAGGAAAAGGGCACAGAGAAACATCAATGAAGTCATTTTCTTACCAGTCACTGAAGTTTAACAACAGCCTATAATTTCCAGTGTCCTGCTGGGTGTACTGAAGGCTCTATTTTTGGTGAGGAATAATGTGATTATGTATAGCCTCATCTGATGGGAGGCTGCAGCCCCTTGCTAGCCTGTCTGAGCTGGCTTTTTACATTCACTTGGCTTTTAAACAGAGTGACTAACACCTTGGCCATCACTGGCTTCTGAAAATAGCCTCAGTCCGTTGGTATTATTAGCATTGGTTTATGATTTTAAATCTGATTCAATTATGAAGTGCATATAAGAATCAAAAAATAAATTGTAATGACAGATAGGTGTTTATTTTATATTCCTTTTCCAGAATAGCTGCTGTGACATTCAGCTTCTCCTGTATTTCAAATGAAAGTCTGCCTGTAATTAGCATGACTTTGGCATGTTATCAGTCTGTGGTAACTCCCCGTGTGTGTGCAGTTACCTGGACAGGTGAGAAAGTTCTTTCCTGAAAGGAACAGGTCAGCTGTGATGAGTTTTATTTAGGAATCAGGTTAACCCTAACCCACAGAGCAAGCCAATATGGGGTTACACTGTTGGAGGCACTCCTTGCCCCACTTTGTCAGTAAATGTAAATATTAATTCTTTTGTACAGCATTGTTGCATTTGAAATATTTCCAAGTGTTTTCCCTCATCCACTTTAAGCAGCCAAAAATTTAGTTACAGCCATAGGGTAATGGATTTGTTGCTTTCTGTAGGGGTTTGTTTCAAGACCTGGCAGCACATGCACATAGAGAGCCCCTTCCTTAATTCATCCACAAACCGAGGGGAACTATTCCAGCTCAGAGCGTTCCCTGCACAGTCCTGGTGACAGATGATGTGTTTTTGTCATTTCTCAGCCCTGGTTGTGCTTGCTCTCCCCTGCACGTGCC